TTTTTGTCTTTCAAAATATTATTTAAATTATCTCAAGATAAATAAAATTGGATAAAAAAAGAAACAATTACCTCTGTTAATCAATTTGTCTTTATGCTCTTCACTTTTTGTTTATTTTTTCCATTGTTTACGATCAGGGGTGGAGGCAGAAATTTTTTTTGTAGGGCAAAATACTAAAATTTTTAAAGTTTAGGGGAGGTTAAAAAATTTTTCATATATCAATTTACAAAATTTTCAAATTTCAGGCGAGCACCCCCCTCGCACCCCCTGGCTCCACCACTGTCTACGATATTCAATTTCTATAAAAATGGATTTATAATGAAAGAATCAGCTAGGAAATTTTTTGAAAATGATTTAGTAGCAATTTTTATGTATAAGTTTTTCTTATAATTTTATATATCATCTAATTGTAATGTTCTATGTATTTATTTATCTAATTAATAAAATGAGTAAGATGCAAAGAAAAATCGTAAAAATCGGTTCGTGTGCAGATATAAATGGATCTTACCAATAAAAAAACTTTAATGCAACTAATTTAAAACGTTAGGGATGAAATTAACCAACGAAAAAAAGATGCAATTGAAAATAATGCAAAAGTTACGGACGACAAATTCTTTTCCTGTGACGGAATCACACAGAAAAGCAACAATTTCATACTCCATTACCTATTTCAAAAAAAAAAAAAAAAAAAAAACACAGAGAAGGGAGGCCGCTCTTTCCTTCAGCCTCTCATGTCTGTATTATCATCAGATCAATAGAGGAGAAACAGCATCGAACTGTATCCCCTCCAAAAGAAAAAGCATCGAACCATCAGATCTCAGAAGGAGAATGTCAGGTTCGGCAATGGTGGGAGATTCAAGCTCCTGGTCAAGAGCGCTCCTCCAGATTTCGCCCTACACTTTCTCCGCTGTCGGCATCGCCATCGCTGTAGGCGTCTCCGTCCTCGGCGCGGCATGGTATGAAATTATTGCTTTTGTTGATTATTCATTTATCTGTTCGTGGAGTGGTTTGAGTGGTTAACGACAAGAAGGTGAGAGAGCAGCGGCAGAGTTGATGTTGAACGAACGATGGAGGCTCCATTGTGTTCAGCGTGCGGAGAGAGTACAGAGAAAATTCATTTTGAAATTAAAATTCATGTGTTTAAGAATGAAATCGAAATACACGGTATTTATGTTTTTGAATTACTCAGAATGAAATATATGTATTTTATTTAAATTCAATTATATTTGATTTATGTGAAAACAAACAATAATATTTAATTAAAAAAATTAAAATTCAAATGCATTGTATCAAATTCATATTACCAAAACAGAACATAAAAAAATTTAACAATCAGTCTTGAACTAAATAGAAATTTTTTTGTATGTTTGTACTGGAAGGATTTTTTTTTTTTTTTTGAACATAGGAAACTTTTAGGGTAAAGGGA